ACATAAAATACACACATAAACAAAATTGTATGTACATTGAAAAGAAGAACATACACACACGCACCTTATAACAGACTAACTTTGCCTTAAATACATCCTTACTGTAGCTCCGCTACATCGGGTAGGGATGTGTTGTGGGAATAAAATAAAATACAAAATTAAATAAAAGTATAAAAATAATAAAATAAACATTAAAATCTCCCAAGAGTCCTCTGACAGGAAAGACAAATTACGCAGGTGCAAAAATAAAGAATAAAAGAGCAGACGTTTTTTTTAAAAGAGAGACGCTTAAAAAGAGCAGACGCTTAAAAGAAGAAACGCTGGGGCTTTTCTGTTGGACCATTGACTGGTGAATACGTACCAACTGTTTTGGGAGGAAATTCCCCAACAAGAGGTCGTTGAATCCAATAGAAAGAAATAAAATCAGTCCTAAACAGTCCCTCCATTGTCTCCGTATCCTTCCGTTTTTTCTCTATCTATTTATTTCAGCAACGGAGGAAATTCAACGAGTTTTTAGGTGAAATAATCAATCCAGCACTAATAGCCGTAACATCTATACATACACATATATATATGCATACATACATATACAAGTACATATATATATATATATACATATATATATATAAATCATGTATTATTATAATCACTAAAACTACTATAATTATTATTATTATCACCGTTACTATTATTGCATTCTGTTTTATTTCTTCTTCCTATCAGCAGTATCTGTCTTGCAATTTTCAGCAATTTGCTTAAATGACTGCTACTAGGAGGAGACGCTTTTGTAATTTAAATAAAGACGACGTTAAGAGAAACTGTTAAAAAAAATTAAACAATAACAGTAACCATGCAATTATACCAATGACATCATATGCTGATCAATAACACAATAAATACCAATGATAATGATAACAATAAGCCACCAGTCACTTTTGAATGGTAAATACTAACTTAATAACATTTCTTTAAAATATAATTTGCGGTAATTAACAAATCAATATATATATATATATATATATATATCAAATACTTTTTAAGAAAGTATATATATATATATATATCAAATACTTTAATACTTTAATATATATATATATATATATCAAATACTTTTTAAGAAATATAAACCCTTATTATAGTTTTTTTAATATAAGAATTTAAATAGATTATGATTTATAGTCTCATAGATTTAAATTAAAATCAGATGGATATTTACGTTGAGCTATTTTTATGTCGACGTATATATTCCTGAAAATGGAATAAAATAGACACAAAATTACGATAAAGATTAAAATAATATCAAAAAAGAAATAAATAATTACAAAAAATTCATTATATATATATATATATATATGTGTGTGTGTGTGTGTGTGTGTGTGTGTGTGTGTGTGTGTGTATGTATGTATGTATAGTTAAATTCGTCAAAAATACGCTGAAATATTTACATTAAATCTGTTACGTTTCTATGAAGCCTCGAAAAACACGTCATATCTTCTAGGACGCCAAAAGCTTTCTATTATTATTATTATTATTAATATTATTATTATTATTTACTGCTATTTAGTTTTGATACTGTTAATATTTGGTCATTTCAATTTCATAAAAAGGAATGCCAATGTTTCCGTAAACTCCAGCCTTCTCATAGATTATGTTCCTTTTGAAATTGCTGTTGATGAAGATTTTGTTGTAGGTACAAAATTTAATTCTATCAAACAGAATGGATATATTAAAAAATACAAAAAAGGAATAAAACTGGTACAGGAGTCCAATGCGAAAGGAAACATGAAAAACGAAAAAAATTATTATATCTGCTTTGTTTGCTATAATACTGTTGTTAAAAGTAATATGACTAGATGATTCCATCTGACCTCGAAATTGCCTTTCGAAATTTAGATTGGATAATTAAAGGAACCAAAATTGCTACAAATACCTCTGCCAGCTCCATCAGATTTGTCGATACTAGCATTGTTTTTTCTGAAAACTTTTCAAATTTGCCAAACAAATTGAATGAAGAAGGCAAAAAAAGTCACTTTTCATAAGAATTTCAGTGCAACTAACGTAATTTTCAACAAATAACGTCGCGGACAATGAATCAATAATTATAACGGAAAACAGAGAGCTAGAAAAAAAAAGTAAATCATTTCGTCTCCCTGGAGAAATGAATCTCGAGGGGGGAAACCTGGAAAAAGAAAGAAATCAAAAGAACATATAATTTGATGAAATTAACTCTCAAACTCAGAATGTCATGCAGAGAAAAAAAAACTATGGGAAAGACCACTTGGAAAGATCACAAAAGAGTACATCTAAAAGCGAAATCATTTGCCAGAAAGGAAAAGGGTAGAGTTGATTTGAAGAATATTAGAAAACCAAAGGAAATAGCTACTCAGAAGGAGATCTCGTCAATGAACTGACAGCTGAATCATAATGTTCAACAAGAAAAAAGAATGAGCTATTCGTAGTTTCGCTTTCATTTATTTCTCGGATTTTTAGTATCTTCAGTTCTTCCTTCAGTGTTAAGTTCTTCCTGTGTTTTAACCAATTTGTCCGGTTCAGTAATGGAAAGGACATTTTTTTCGTTATTATATCATTTTTCAATTATCTAACAAAGTTTTCTTACCATGGTGACATAGACTCTCTAACAATATTTTTCCCCTCGCAGATTAGGTACACTTTCCAGATTTGGATTTTCATTTTCCAAAATATCTTTTGATTAAAGCTTATACCGTTGATTTGATCCGAGTCGTTTGTACAAATCCCTCTGTTTCACCCTTCCTGCCCTGCCATGTTTACTTATGCTTTCATTTTAGATAATATGTTATTTTCACCGATGTTATTAATAGCTTCGTCGCTGACGTTATATATTTACTGGTTGGCAATGCGCTTTCTATAAGCCTTAAATAGTTCTAAGCGCTTATTCTTGATTCATGTTAACAAATTACATTTCTCTTGCTAATTTTTTTTTCTATGCAATCCTGCCATTTCCAAACTCCATTGCCTTTGAAGGATCTATGGCGCCTTCTCTTCCAATTTTTGGCTTCTTTTTTCAACTTTGCTTGTTCAAGATTTTTCCTCTTGTCAATTCTCTTGTTTCTTCTTTTTTCCATAAGACATAAACTCTTTTTTTTTTTCTTTTTTTTTTTTTTGCTGCGTTCCCCATCAAACGTCCTTTACGGACAGGTTAGCATATTCTTCAATCCTGATCAATTCTTATCTAATTTACTTTTTCAAATTTACATTCTAAATTTCGACCTATAGGACACTTTTGACAAGCTAGTGGGTTACACTTAAAAGGTGATAAGGAATGAAGTGGATACAGGGAAGCGTAATGTAGAATAGAAACTAGGGTAGAGAATATTTAGCCGTGAATGACTGTTTTCAGCAAAATCTACTGTTTTAACTGCTCTTCTTGCTACTCCTCTTGATGTAGGAGTATTTTTATGCCTTTCGTCCGATGGCCGAGTTCAAACATGTAGGGAAATATTCTCCCTCACAACAGAATGGAAGAAGAGTAAGATAACGTAGAAAGATAACGATTGACCCTAGATTTGAAGAGGTCAAATTTAAAGTGTTTAGGGAAGTAACTAGGCAGATGTCTGCTACACAAAGTAGCAGTCGTCGTGAAGAAGCAGTCCGAATGGAATTTTCTACACTGAGGGAATGAGAGTGATTCGTTTCCGTGGAAGTGACATAATATGTTCTAATTGTAAATTTATAAACTGATGGAACTGAAAAAACTGAAATTTTCCATGGAAGTAGAGATAGATTAACAATAGACTTGCAACTCTGGACAGGAAGTTGTAGACAGTTGCTTCAACGGTGCAATTCCTCCGTTCATTTCCGGTTTCATCGGGACAGTTCCCTATAACGACTGGCACTTTCACCTTCTACAACATCCATTGCTTTATCCGTGGGCGAAAATACTTATGTACCATTTCACTTGAATTTACACTTTACTAGAAAAACGAAACCAACTGATAAGATTTCTTCTACTTGTTTACAACTACTAGATTATTATTAGTTGTTTCTGGTATATTTGGCTGAAGGAAAAAATGTCATCAATTCCTGAAATACTTCAGTTACTCTTAAATATTTTACCTTTTGTCAGTATTGACATCATCTGAATTAACTCGAATCTTGATCAGATTTCACATTCTCTTCGCATTTTCAGCTCCTTCAATATTTAGTGGTACTACTGTTACATTCCTAAGTTCTTTAATTCTCTGGTGAGGTTCAGAGTGTTATTAGTAGTACTAGTAGTGCTAATAGTATGCCTTGATCTTATTATTGCTATTCTCGTTTAAAAGTTGAAAAATATTTCCAAAAAGCGATTAAGATAATATTATTGGAGAAATTTTCAAGCGAACAAAACCGCCATTGGCTGACATCAGAATTTAAAATGGATTTTCTTTGTTCTTTCATATTAAAACTTTTTATCAAGAAACTCAACACAAAACGACACTCAATCTAATCGTTTCTTTTCAATGACATCTTTCTTTCTTCTCTTAGACAATATTCAAATTAACCGCCTATTTTGCAAACATGGCATTTTTCTCTCATCGCCTGAATGCATTCAGAATATCAGATGATTCGCAGTTAGGGAAGCCGGTTCCTTTTGAAAATTTTTGCATGATAATTTTTGTACGTATTTCTATTAATCTTCTTTATATATATATATATATATATATATATATATATACATACATACACACACACACACATATATATATATATATATATATATATATATATATATATATAATGAGGCAATCATTTATAATAATCATTGATAATCAAAGGTTTATTGCTATAACAATCAATCATGCCCAAACAATTAATAAAGAAAAAAAATAATAATTTCATGCCAATAAATATTGCATAAACTTTTTATAATGTAAACCTTTTCATAGGAATTAATTGAATAACATAATAATGAATTTAATAACAATGAATATAATTTTTTTCATTTTGTATATTTCCTTTGCTTGCTGTTTATTGAAAAGACCCTGACTCAAAGAAGAGTGCACTAACAGTAGCATTTCTCTCTCTCTCTCTCTCTCTCTTTCTCTCTCTCTCTCTCTCTCTCTCTCTCTCTACACACACGCACATATAAATATATTTATGTGTGTGTGTGTGTGTTTAAAGAGATGAGAAAAACATAGTTTTGTGGTATGGTCTATTTATGGATAAAAGTGGTTAATATCAGAGTAATTATAAATATAAAAGTGGAAACTGAGGTCAACACCAAAATGTGATAGTTTGTTTCACACTTGAACTTAATCTACAGACCACACACACACATATACACACACACACAAAAAACATACACATAAAGACACACTCATATATATATATATATATATATATATATATATATATATATATATATATAGGCATAAGTATAAATCAGTAACGTAAGTCAACATTATTCAATTTTAAGAATATTTTTTTTTTATTATATAACTCAAAGTTTTAACAATATCATTATTATTAACCAACCGATATTGGTAAAATTTTGTTGCAATAATCTTGTTTTTCTGACCAATATATCGGGTTTCAGCTTCCACCTTCTATTCTTATAAAAAATATTGATAATAAATTGTTTTGAGAATGTCATTGAAATTTTATTATCGAGACATAGAGCAAAATAATTATTTCCTCATATATAGATCCAGCTAAAAGACCAACATTGAAATTCAAAGAATTATTTTAGATTCTAAGAATTTTAGGGGCTAATAATGATTTTCTGAACCAAGTCCGACTAATTAACCCATATCTGGAGGGAGAAGAAATGGTTGATTCCTACTTTTCCCAACTGTACTTGAGCATAAGTAAATAGAATGAAGCCAACGGGAATTTGAACTCGGCTCTCTCATTAACAATTCCAAGCCTTTATCCATTACACTAACCGCATATCCAAGATCGCAGATCGAGAAGTGATTTTTTCAACCTGATGTGACCGTAAAACCGTTTTGCAAACAAACATTTTCTTGTCGAACAATGTATAACAATATATATTTAGCGTAAAATTCCTTGCTTATGACTTTTATCATTCATAAAATTCCTCACCCAAGAAATTACGACAATTCCCTGCATTTATTTTGCCATCATCCATTTCCATCCCTAACCCTTAACCCAAAACATTACCTTTCACCTTTTGAAATCTCAGTCATGTTCGTTGAATATTTTCAAGCTCAGCAATTTGACCCACTATCTAGCTCTTATCTTTTACTAAAAATGACAGTTCAAAATTCAGTTTTCATGTACTTCTTCGCCGAACTTACACATTTCTCTCTTTGTGACATTTAAAGGTCTCATTTTCGTTACTGACCACGTTTTAATGTTGCTTAACTTCGCTAATCGTACAAGAACCAGTGTTTCAACATGACATGTCCGAAAGCCGTATATTGTTTGTACGGCCATTTTTAGATCAGGACGACCTCCTGATATCGGCGCCATATTTCTGATTATCAACGTTAGTTTACTGTTTGCACGAAGTCAACATAAAAAGCTGTGTTCTGGATGTGGTGATTTAGGTTGAATCTTTCTACATGTAAATCTGTTTCATCTTTCTTTTTGCTCTTATGTTGAGGGATTTCATAACGGCATACTTTTGCTATTTTATTCAATACACATGTCTTGGACCGCATTTTGTCATATATATTCGTTTGCCCTTTGCTCTAACTTTCTCTGCATCTTTTTCGTTCAATCTCAAGTTTGCTTGCTTCCGCGCTTGCTTAATCTATCTCTCTGTCCGTCTTTCACTAAGTATGTAGACATGTGTACTTAGAAATAGACTAAGAGAGAGTGAGATAGAGAAATACATAGAGAGAGATATGTGAACAATATAAGCTAGCTAAATAAATAGATAGCTAGATATATAGACAGAAAATATGTTCCATAACAAAAGTAAGAATACTTGAATCAATATAATATAATCCTTCCCAATAAGACTTGAATATGTCAGCAGAAAATATTTTAATTAATGTAAAATAATTGCAAGAAGCATCAAAATCATTTTCTTTTATCATCCTATTTCTCTAAATCGTGTTTTCATTAAAATTCTTCCTCAAGTGTCATTAACCAGTGCAGTTCTTCATGAAACACAACAAAAGCATTTTCTTCCTTTCTTTATCGATATATATTTGCGCCATGAAAAGGCATCGCCCGTTTGAATAACAAGTCCTTGAGGCGTTGAAAGAAAGGAAAATTTTATACGATGCATTTTTACTTTCAATGACGTGATGTGGCATGTGAGGTTTCGAGAAAAGTCAGAGCTTCCTTTTGAAAGCTACAAATGAACTCCTCGCTAACGAAAAACGATTGAATGAAAGCTTCGATGAGCGTCACGAGATTTCATTTTCTTTTATTAAATTTCAAAATAAAATTTTTTTTTTAAAAATCATTTGTTTAAAGTTCATTTTTTTCATTCCCCAAATGTCGTTATCTAATATTTTTCGAAAACGTTTATCAATTATTCCTTACAAACCTGAAATATAATTTCAATAATAATAATTAACTTAAGGGGCCCGGTAGAATCTTTTCTATATGGCGTAACCATTCAGGGCGTGGGCACTTATGGCTCTCCACATATTTCTGTTCTTTGCAGCAAGTTTATCTTTTTATCTATTTATCCTCCCAACTCCTAGTTTTCCAAATAATCACACAACCTCATTAGTTATGTTATTCGCTACTTTTCTTTGCCTCTCTTGTCTTCAATATGCCCTCTGAGTGTCAAGTGCTCCAAGCCTTCTTTCCTTATTATGCATCCTATTACTTTCTCATTCTAAATATAATAGTTATTTTTTTTTCAATTTTCCTTAAAACTTCCATGTTACACACATGTTCAGTCTATGGTATTTTTACCACTCTTCTTTCTCTGTGATGAGATTGTTCAGAATTCCCCGAGGAGGATCGATATTACATAACATTTCAGTGTAGCCTTTTCTTTGTTTCTAACGAATGTTTCCTGTTGTTTAATACTTTGCTTAGCAAATATAAACTCTAGGAAAATAATGATGCTGCAATAAAGCAGATGATAAACGAATGTAAGAAATTATTTTGGAATGAAAATAATAATAACAATAATAATAGATATGAGGATAATCCACTGGGAAGTGTGCATCTGATTGCATTTTGACCACCCAGATCAATGGACATATACTTTGAGCAGAGTCTATCTTTGAGAATGAACCATTTAAAACCCAACGGGACTTTGAGATTCAAATAGATCATGACAGATGACCGGATTTAGTAATCGTAAACAAAATGAAGAAAACATGTGAGAAGCAAAACTTAAAATGAAAGAAACTATCAAGATAGAAAGAAAGAAATCTTGACCTTGTGAAAGAAATGGTGGCAATCAGACCAATCATCAGAGCCACTGTGAATCATTCTGAAAAGTCTCAAGAAAAAGGTTATAGGAAGTGGAAATAAAAAGAAGATTTAAGACTATCCAAACCACAATGTTGCTGAAAACAGATAAACTGATGTGGATCTTGGAATATTGAAGAAACTTAATGTCACTTAGTTTTAAGTAGAAAATTTACCGATGTTAAAATATTCCTGGAATTTGGGAAGAGTACTGTCCGAGATTCAAACGAATCATCCAATCTAAGCCGGAAGTCATAAATAAAAAGGAGAAAATATATAAAATCGTGAATTTCTCTTTAGCAAAGGTCCACAGAAAATATGTTTTTATTCAGTTAATAAAGATATTGACTGATACAAGCTCTACTAATTAACCCATAACTGGAGGAGAAGAAGTGGACTCATAGCTTTGCCAAGAGTATTTGCAAGTAAGTGAATATAACAAAGAAAACTGAAATTCAAAGTCTGTTTTTCAAATCCCAATTCCCAGCTGTTATCCATTACACTACCCTCATATCCAAGCTTACAGCAGCTGACATTCCCAAGCGTCTACCTACCTAGATATATACCAGATTTGATAAGATTCAAATGGACCGGATCTTGTTATTTATCAAAAGAAGTTGATGATATATACATATATAAATAGATTAAAAGGAAGAATTTGATATTGAAATCCTTCCAGACAACCAAGTGATTTATTCCAATAAGCCAAGGACTCTGGATCCTGGAAAAAATATCTGCCCGTCATAAGCGTAAAGAGCGTAATACGTTATGAGGATATGGTCAGAAAAAAATGCAAATTTTTGGTGAGCAAGTAAAAGTTGTTACATTTCAATTTACCATAATCCTCCAATATTTGTATTATATTTTATTCAGGTCTTTATAGAATTAATTCATTGAATTTCGGTTCCACAAAAGAATGAAAATGCCATTGAGAATAAATTTTCTTTGAGAAAGATAAATAATTGTTATTATTATTATTATTATTATTATTATTATTATTCAAATGTTTCAACACGGTAAAATAAGAAGATGAAGTAGAAACATAAAATTAAAGCAGTAAATAAAACTCCACTAATCATGGAAATACTTAAATAGAAACTGCAATTAAAGGTACAGAGAACAAGACAACATAAAAAGGATTGTAAGTTCCACATTTACCAAAATAAGATATTCGAAATACACCTCAAGAAGTTTTACAGAGGAAATTGGAAAAACAGTTATAGAAGTCAAAAAGCCAGCATCTATTGAAGAAGTGCAAAAGTTTTGGAAGAATATTTGGAGCAACCCAAAGGAATATAATCCCAATCCAGAGTGGATCAAACGAGAAGAAGAAAGACTGAAGGCTAAATCTGTACAAGAATGGAAAATTATAACCAAGAATAATGTTAGGCAAGCTCTAACAAAATCCCCAAAATGATAAGGTAACCAACTTTTGGCTCTATCATCTATCATCTGTAATCAATTCATAAAACTCTTGCACAAACTTTAACAATATTAATTAATAATCCAAATGAAATTCCAGAATAGATCACTGAAGGTATTATATATCCCCCCACCAAAAACGGATAAAACAGAAAATCCAAATCAATGTAGGCCAATAACATGCCTGCCCACCACATATAAATTAATCGCGTCTATTCTAACAAACTCTTTTCTCGATGAAAACAACATTTTTATCCTGGAACAGAATGGATGTCATAGGGGTTAATATCAACTACTAATAAATAAAATGATCCTGCA